GAAAACAGCACCTCAGACTGAAGAAGTCTCTCGGACGAGAGACGAAATGTTTCTACATTTTTTGTTGTTTTGCTTTGTTTTGGGTTTTTTTGAATGTCCAGAGGACCAGATTTAACTTTTTTAGAATCCCCAATATACTAAAAATACGCTTAAACTAAGAAATACATTAAACACTAATAGTACAAAAACAATACGCCAAACAACAGCAGCACAAACATGAGTCTGTGTGAGCATATGAGCACGATGGAACACAGCAGCATGAAATAAATCAGCAGCATGGATAGTCAGCAGCACATATCAACAATCAAGTGGAATTACAGTGATTTTTTTTCCACAGTGATAATCCTGGTTAGATATGCATAAGTCTAACAGCTTCAGGGTATAAGCTGTTCCTCAGTCTAGTGGTTCTACACTTAATGCTCCTCAACCTCCTAACTGAGGGGAGCAGGGCAATAAAGTAATTGTGCTGGATGAGTGGGGTCCTTCATGATGCAGGTGGCCCTCTTCCTGCATCTGGAGGTATAGATGTCTGTGACTTCTGTGCAGCCTTCACCACTCTCTGCAGAGCTTTTCTTCATACAGCTGTGCAGCCTCCATGCCTTTCTGAGGGAAAGGTGAAGTGCACACTACTGATTTCTACTCTCACATGCTCCAATCTGGGCCCTTGAGCAAGGTCCTTAGCCAGTGGTGTAGTCTACATTTTAGCAGTGGTTATACTGTGCTTATAAACCAACATACACCAGTTAGTACAATGTAATCATCAATTTATTTTGATTTTTAAGCATATTTAACATTTCAAAATTTCTTTGATGATTATATTTCAATAAATATACAACAAACAAAAGTACAGAAGTAATAATTATACAAAAAACATCCAGATGCATTCTCAATAATCCAGGTATACAATTAAACATTTTTCAGTCAGGTCATCAGGACAGTTTCTTTTTTTGGTGCTGAAACATTTCGCCTTTGATCTGGAAGGCTTCATCAGTCCAAGAAACACATAACAAAACTGATCCCCCCCCCCCCCAACAGCTTACTCCAAAGTGGAACAAACCAGTTCTGCTTGTGATAAGATAGTCTCTTTGGTACGCCTCCTCCTCCATTGCCGGCCCTCTTCCTTGTAGACAGTCTTGTCAAACTGGTTGAAAACAACAAAGTCCATGCTCAATAATCCTGGTATACAATCCAAAATTTTTCAGTCAGGTCATCTGGACCTTCTCAATCTTTGGATTGTATACCTGGATAATTGAGCATGGACTTTGTTGTTTGGGTGTCTACTATTTAAGCTCTTAAAGAGAGCTCACATCAATTAAAAACTAGAAACTAGTTTCTCATATGTCTTATGTCCACACTCGTCTTAAAACTCATTCAGTTTTTTTGTCCATTTTTCTGTATTTTTGTATTGTCTCCTTGCAGAAATTAAAGCACACAGAAAGTGACAGACTTCAGGTTCAGATCCAGGCATATCTGGACAACGTGTTTGATGTTGGGACACTTCTGGAGGATGCTGAGACAAAAACTGCTGCTCTGGAGAGAGTTGAAGAGTTGGAAGAGAGTCTGGCCACAGTAAGAAAATAAGTGGTGACAAGATAAATATGTTTTACTATTATACAAGTTTTAATGAGATGTAGTTTTAGAATTCACATAACAGTTGTAATGGGCAATACTACACAATAAAAATGCAATACTACACAATAAAAGACAGTATTTCACAACAAAATACTTCATAATAAAAGACAATACTAAACAATAAAAGACAATACTACAGAATAAAAAAATGTGCTACACAATTAAGGCAATACCACACAATAAAATACAATGCTACACACTAAAAGACAAAATAACCAGTGGTGTCCTGATACCAGTTTCATATACTCATACTTGTAAAAAAATATATATTCTGGATCAACACCACTTTTATGCTTGGGGAAACCCTTTTTCTCTTTGCCTGCTCATTTTACTTTTTAATTTATTAAGCTTTATTTAATCAAACAAATCCCACTGAGATCACAGATCTTTTTTTACAAGGGAGGCCTTGGCCTGAAGGAAACCTAACATTCAGGTTTTAGGGCTGTGGGAAGAAACCAGAATATCTGGAGAAGACCCCTGCATCCAAACCAAGGATTGAACCCACAGCCTTCTTGCTGTGAAGCCACAGTGCTAATTTTTACAAAGCTAACATGCTGCCCCAAAACTGAAGATAAAAGAAAATATACATATTTTGAAGATATTTTAAGATAAACACAATGTTAAAAAAAATACTGTCTGCTGTTTTTGAAAAAATAGAATAACAATAAGAACAACTTTATTTATCCTGCACAGAGAAAATTATCATTGAGAAAACTTCTTTGGTAGATAGTAGGGGTGCATGCTAACCGATGGCAGTTCAATGTCTCTTGGACAGAGTTCCTTCACACAGATGTACCGTGGATTACATCTGTTGTTAATATAGATTGCTACAGGTCCTTCTCAAAAAATGAGCATATTGTGATAAAGGTCATTATTTTCCATAATGTAATGATAAAAATGAAACTTTCAGATTCATTGCACACCATCTGAAATATTTCAGGTCTTTAACGATGTATGCCATAATATGACGATTATGGCATACAGCTCATGAAAACCCAAAATGCCTGTCCCAAAAAATTAACATATTTCATCCCACCAATGAAAGACAAGTGTTTTTAATACAAAAAACGCCAACCTTCAAATAATCATGTTCAGTTATGCACTCAATACTTGGTCGGGAATCCTTTTGCATGAATGACTGCTTCAATGCGGCGTGGCATGGAGGCAATCAGCCTGTGGCACTGCTGAGGTGTTATGGAGGCCCAGGATGCTTCGATGGCGGCCTTAAGCTCATCCAGAGTGTTGGGTCTTGCATCTCTCAACTTTCTCCACAATATCCCACAGGTTCTCTATGGGGTTCAGGTCAGGAGAGTTGGCAGGCCAATTGAGCACAGTAATACCATGGTCAGTAAACCATTTACCAGTAGTTTTGGCACTGTGAGCAGGTGCCAGGTCGTGCTGAAAAATGAAATCTTCATCTCCATAAAGATTTTCAGCAGATGGAAGCATGAAGTGCTCCAAAATCTCCTGATAGCTAGCTGCATTGACCCTGCGCTTGATAAAACCCAGTGGACCAACACCAGCAGCTGACATGACACCCCAGTGACTGTGGAAACTTGACACTGGACCTCAAGCAATGCGAATTCTGTGTCTCCTCTCTTCCTCCAGACTCTGGGACCTTTATTTCCAAAGGAAATGCAAAATTTACTGTAATCAGAGAACATAACTTTGGACCACTCAGCAGCAGTCCCAGGTGAGATGCTTCTGACGTAGTCTCTTGTTCAAGAGTGGCTAGACCTGGGGAATGCGGCACCTGTAGCCCATTTCCTGCACACACCTGTGCACGGTGGCTCTGGATGTTTCTACTCCAGACTCAGTCCACTGCTTCCGCAGGTCCCCCCAAGGTCTGGAATTGGCCCTTCGCCACAATCCTCCTCAGGGTCCGGTCACCATTTCTCGTTGTGCAGCATTTTCTGCCACACTTTTCCCTTCCCACAGACTTCCCACTGAGGTGCCTTGATACAGCACTCTGGGAACAGCTTATTCGTTCAGCAATTTCTTTCTGTGTCTTACCCTCTTGCTTGAGGGTGTCAATGATGGCCTTCTGGACAGCAGTCAGGTCGGCAGTCTTACCCATGATTGTGGTTTTGAGTACTGAACAAGGCTGGGAGTTTTTAAAAGCCTCGGGAATCTTTTGCAGGTGTTTAGAGTTACGTCGTTGATTCAGATGGTTAGGTTAATAGCTTGTTTAGAGAACCTTTTCATGATTTGCTAATTTTTTGGGACAGGCATTTTGGGTTTTCATGAGCTGTATGC